GAAAATTTCCTGTTCAGAGCTAAGCCTACCACTTAATTAAAAAAATGATTTTGTGGCAAGTGCAGGCATTCTATTTGCGCGTTCTTCCTTTATATTATAATTTAAAAGTATTTTAATTATTTTATTTTAATTTTCAATAAAATCCATCACTATTTGACTCTAAGATTACGCGCGTTTGAGGTTTCTAGGGAAAAGTAGCATCAAAAAATACATAGTTGTGATAAATTGATAAATCGAATGTCGAATGAATCGAAGTTGGATTATCAAAAAGCTAATTTGATGTGTATTGTTTAGTTTTGGTGTCTAAAAATCACATACATTTATCACTTTCAATTTACAAGATGCCTAAAGCATATCATTATTATCTAATCCCAACATCATGGCTTTTTTATTTTATCAGTATTCTTAACTTAATAACTGAAATCTCTTATAAAATAATCGAGTAAAGTAGGCAGTCTATGCCTAAGGCAAGGAGCACGAATGTATGCCAATGAACAAATCCGATATTTACTTTGAGGTTTTCTCAAGACTAGACTTCGCATTTGGAAAGCATGAACTACAAAGGTTTGCCTTGTCTAGCAAAAAATGAAGGGTTAGCATGAGATTTATGGTTTAATTTTATACAATGTCTTACTTTTAGTTTGAGCTCATTTTACATTTTTTTCTAATTTTGTAGACTTGAACAAATGTATAAATTAGGGCTTTATGAGCTATTACATAATCATAATGTACAGTTTTCATAAACTAGCCTATCATATTTGACCAATAGCACATGCTATAAACTACCATCAAATGCTATAATTAAAAGAAATCTAAATTTCTGCTATTGATTCAGCATGTTACTCAAATAGAAATAGAAATAGAAATTTTGCCAAGTATTTCTTATTTACCAACTTAATATTCAAAACGAGTACTTTTCGATGCTAGAACTCTTAGTAGGCATAATTAAGTTATTTTTTCTTTTAAATAGAATAACATCACCCCACTCCACCTGGCAGCCAAATGGGGCAAAGTTAGTGTTGCCCGAGTTCTCCTGGAGGCCGGTGCAATAGTGAACGCTAGGACCCGGGATGGTCTCACTCCTCTTCATTGTGCTGCACGTTCTGGCTTTCCAGAGATGGTAGAGCTGCTGTTGAATGCGGGAGCAGACAGTTCGGCGAAGACGCGAGTAAGCGTCAGGCCTTGGCAGATGACATATTTTTACAAATTTACAAAGCTTGTCTATGATGCTCGTTAGTTTTGACTTAGACAATATATTTGCTCTTCTTTTTACCATGATTTTTATAGCAGAACAAGGGAGCGTTTTTCACAGGATGCTTCAAAACAATTGAATAAACTAGGTTTTGTCTCATCCTCTAACATTGTTGACAAATACCAACACTTTGTGAAGATATTCTGCCGGAATATGGTTTTAAATTTTGTTCTGGCTATAGTATTGAATCGACGGATAGTTATTGGTATTTAGCATTCAACATTTTTTAAATGTAAATTTATTTATATCTCAGGGATTCATATTCAATGTACTGGCGAGGAAAATAAGACAGAGCTGAACCTGTAAACAAATAGCCTGTGAATTACGCCCTAAGAATACTTTCTTTCTACAACGGGCTTTTATTTTTGGCATTGTAAAAGTCTTAGCAACGTCAGTATTTGGATTTCGGTCCGGCCCTTGCCTGTTTGAGACTCTCTATTTCATTCAAGGACCCTTTGCCATGAGGTTACGATGAAGTATCATTTATAAGGGCCTCTAAACTGTAAGCGAGTTGCAAGTGTTGTGATGGCAACTGTATTATGGTGTTTTAAATAGGACACGGAATAAAATAAGTGAAAATTCTGCCGGATATTACTAACTATTATAGGACCTATAAGTTAAGGCACAGTTTTCAAATCCTGGAATGTATACCTAA